TGGGCATTCTTAAGGGTCCCTTTGGAAATCAGCATGGCTCTTGGCACTTGTCACTTGGGAGGTTTTCCTAAATGAAAGCCATGGTGAATCCCTAGTGAAGGGTAAGTGGCCCATTTCCCACACATCTAGCTGTCCGACAGACTTAGAAACAACTCCCAAAGAAGGAGCCGGGGAGGAACAGATCCTTTGATGCATAGAAGCTGAAACTGGCAATCTGGGAGGCAGAGGCGTGTAGTGCTCAGGAACTTGGGTGCTGGGACCTTCAGCAAACTGCCTAACCTCTCCGTTCTTCAGTTTCTCCATCTGTAAAATGAAGATAATAATAGTGTCCACTTCATGTTGGGAGGAGGATTACGTGAGACACTGCGTGTAAAGCATAGTGCCAACACATGGGGTACAGCGCTCATTCAATATCACAATTAGCCTCTGTCTAATCATCATTCTCACTGCCCAGATGGCTGCTGGTGAGACAGTGGAAGCCAATCTTGGACCTTTATCCCCTGAGCTGACTGACAGCTCTGAAATCTCCATGTGGATGATGTCCATGAGTCCTGTGGTGTTGTCCCTCATGGCAGTGTAGGGGCAGGCACCCCTCCTAAGGCTGGGTAGTTGGCAGGCAAAGGCCGCAGTGTTTCAAAGTATGGGAATATATTGAGAACACCCATGTCTCCAGGGCTTCCAGAACAATGGCTAATCAGGCCCATGGTGGCAGCTCATCATCCCCTTCCAAGTCAATCATTTTATGCATTTCCAAGACCAGCTCTTAGGCCAGTTCCTGTCCCACAGAGGGGGCTTTTTTTGGGGCATCCCTGTTTAGAAATCTGTACCCTAAATTAGCATTTAAAATTATTTTCGCAGTTCTTGCAAAAATAATGCCCTTAATCTGCACATGCCCTTGACAGCAATCCCAGTTCCAGGACTTTATCCTACAGATGTACTCACCCATATGCACAGAGGATAGTCACAGCAAGAGATCAGAAACAATCTAAATACCCACCAGTAGGAGATGGGTATAATGGCGTATACACATAATGGAATGTCAACCATCCAACATTTATATGAATAATTGAAAATATCTACTGAACGTGTATTATATGCCAGTGATTGTTCTAAGTGCCTAGGATACATTAGTGAGCAAAACAAAGATTTCCTGCCCCCATGGAGCTTACATTCTGGTTGATGTGCCACATGCTATTAAAAGACCGCGGCAGGTCCATAAGTAAGGATGCTGGCCCAGCTTCCATCTCTGAGCTATACTGTTAAATGAAAAAAGCCAGGTACAGAGTGTATCTGTGCCACCATGCGTGTACAATGTAACTTTGTGTTTGCATAGAATTTTTCTAGAAGGATTCAGGAGAAACAGAAACGGTGATGGCCCCTGGGAAGGAGCACGGAGGGACTAGGGGTCAGCTTTGGGAGGGAAGAGTTACTTTTCACTGTTTATAAAGTTTGAACGTTTATCCTGTGCTTGCCTTACCAAAAAATGCAAAATAAAATACTAAAACAAAAGGGCTTTTACTCTGCCAAGTGCCTGCCTTCGGACTATTTAATCGTCTAGACCAGAGTTTCTCAACCTTGGCGCTATTGACATTTGGGGCTGGATAATTCTTTGTTGTTGGGGGGAGCTGACTTGTCCACTGTGGGATGTTTAGCAGCATCCCTGGCCTCTACCCACCCGTTGCCAATAGCACCCTTCCCAGAGTTGTGATGACCAAAAACATGCCTCCAGACATTGCAAAATTCCGTGGAGGCAAAATCACCCCTGGTTGAGAACCACTTGCTCTAGAAAACTGTGAAATGGGGAGTGGGAATCACTGTCTCCGTTAGACAGATAAGAAAGGTGAGGCCCAAAGAGGTTTTATAGTATTTTAAAAAATTATATACCTCACTTTTTCATTGTTATCTATTCATTTATGATTTTAAATATACAGTGCTCTACTGTACTTGCATCTTTTTAAGCCATCTATTAATATATAAGTGGATATATAGAAGCAGAATGAATTTAGTTTCTTATTTAGTTTGATCAGTTTCTGGAGTGTTTTAGCTAAGTTAAATCTTACTGGAGATGTTGGGCTACATAGCATAACAATCATTTAAAAAATAAACGAAATACTTCTAACAAGATTTGGCAGGGGGAAACTCTAATCGGATACTTGACATTCTGGTTAATTACATGTTGAAATATCAAATCTCTGGCTTTGTTCAAAATGTACACTTTACCTCCCAAATTTGGAGCTGGCTGGCCTTATTTTTCCGGTTGGATTGTTATTTGTGTCATGAGGGCAGGACTAAACCTCGCATTCTTTTGTATCCTGTCTTGTCCACTATGGCTCCCGAGGAGGCTTAAAATGAAGGCAGCCCAGCAGGGTGTGAACAGAGTAAAGGCCAGGACCTGGGACGCAAATGGAAACAGGTGAGGACTGTTGTCAGCTGATGCGTTTGAAAACACAAACTTCTAGGCTGCCTTTCAGAAAATCCTCTACTCTGTGTTTGGCCCTGGCGGCTCACCAAAGGATCGAGGACAGCAGGTTGTGGTGCTGGCCGGGGAGGACTGTGTGTCCCCTCCCCAGATCCTCTCCATCTTTGGGGCTTACTGTGCTGGGGGCTGGGATCACAAAAGAAAGAAGACATGGCCTGAGAGTCTCACAGCGTGGTGGGGTGGACAGACACATAAACAGACAAGAGCAGTGCAGTGTGATTCGTGCCATGATGGGGGTGGCAAAGGGTGCTCTGGGGACCCTGAGAAGGGAGTGCGGGAAGACTTGCTGGGAGAGGTAACATATAAGCTGAGCCTGAAAGGACAGGTCTCAGATGCACCAAGTGTGTGCCCATCTCTTCCCTTTTACCTTCACATGCCTGGTAAATGTCACCTCTTCAGGAAGGCCCTCCTTGACTGACCCCTTGGAAAGTAGACTCTCTAGCCTCCCAGTATTATTTTCTTCATAGCCCCTCTCAGCAGCTGGTCTTGTTTATACCTGTCTACTAGCTTGTGGCCTGTGGCTCTCCGCCAGAGTGAGAGTTCCAGAGACTGTGATCCTCTCATTCACTGCTGTGGCCCCCGTGAATACCCAACACCTGTGGGGTGAAGAGGAGGTTTGCCAGGCAGACGAGGGTAGAGTTGAGGAGTGGGGAGGGGGAGGGCACCTCTAGAATACATCGGGCAGGTCAAGGTGACAAGGACTGAAAAGGGTCCTATGGCTCTGGCACCAGGGTGGAAGATGGTGGAGGGGGTGAGTCTGAGGTGCAGATGGGAGGAGGAGAAATCTAGATAACGCCCTGGAGAAGTTACACTGAGAAAGGGAGCAGAGATGTGCGGTGGGAACTAGAGGGACCACTTGTTCATGGATGGGTATAATCACGATCTTTAATAGGAGGGAGACCAGAATGTTTTTAGACTAAGGGTCAGGAACCAATGGAGACCAAGGAAAGAGGGGAACCCCTAGAGCAAGATCCTAGGTGAGAAGGACGAGGAGAGGGGAGGGGAGCACAAAGGCCTGGTGGAAGCCTTTGTCTCTGACCGCTGGAAGGTGCCTGGTCCATTGCATTCAGAGGGAGGGGAAATGCATGGGTGCCAGTTACAGATGCTTGGTGCACAGGATGGGGGTGTGGGGGACAGGATGTGGTGGTCTGAACTGTCCCTGTCACTGGCAGCAAGGCCAACTGCTGTTAGGGGCAGGGGAGAAACGGAAAGTGGTTGGGTAGGGGCTGGGGGTCGAGCAGTGAGTATAGCTAGGGAGGGAAGTAGGTGAAGCCAGGAGGGGCAGGTAGGTGGGGGGAAGAGGCAGGTGACAAGAGGCGAGTAAGGAAAATACGTAGTGTGATTGTGAACGTTCAGGGAGGGTGGGAAAGACATCAGGGTGTGGTGTGAGAGTGGGGCATCTGATCTTCAGATTTCAGAGTGGGCAGGTGGGGATGACGTAGTCCAGGCTGTGGCGGTGAGGGCTGGTGGCTAAAGTGCAGGGAAGGGTCATTAGAGATGAGGAGGTCAAGGAACTCCGTAGCCACATGCTGCATGGGTCCCCCAGGAGGGCAGCAGGGCTTGGGGTGAAGGAGCCAGAGGGAGCTTCCAGGAATGAGGGGAAGTGCATGTGAGATTGAACAGGGAGGAGGTATGTGGGCAGCAGAAGGCAGGGGGGTGGCTACACAAAGGCTGGCCAGGGGAAGAAAGCGGGCCACCACTGTCCTGAGGAACAAGAGGTCGACCAGGTTTAGTGAAGCAGGAGGTGGAGGGTGGGAGTGCTCCTTGACAGGGGCGGGGGCTCCTGGGAGCATCGGGGGAGGGAGCAGGAAGCCAGGATCAGGGCTGCGGCCACGGAAGGACAGATGGCCTGTGTTTGCAGCGGAGGATGTGAGGCTGGGGTTGGCTGGCCTCCAAGCTCCCAGGGGGCCCCTGCTGAGAGTCTGTGGGCTCCAGCCCGTGGGCCGAATGCTTTGCTTCCCTCCAGGCAAACACACTTGGAAAGGAGTCTGGACATGAGGAATTGAGAGACCCCGCCCCTCGTGGGAAACAGCTGCCCACTTGGGAAGAGTCTGGGCCTCTCTCTCCACCTGGCTTTCGAGACCCTGGACCCTCGGGAGGCCTCCGTGTCCCTTTTCCTCAGAAGGGCAGGCCTGCCTAGCCCAGGGAGCACACCGGAGGGCGCCTTCTCGAGCACAGTTTAGGGACAAGGCAGAAATTCCAGAAATTCCAGATTCTTTGGGGGGCCTTGGGGGGCTCAGGTCGGGAGGGGCCTGCTCGGCTCCACCGCCAGAGGGCGCCCTCGGCCCGGTGGGCGGCCAAGCGGCCGTCTGGGGGCGCTACCAGCTCCCTGCCCCAGCTCCGCCCTAGAGCGGTGGGCCGCCGGCACCGGCCCCGAGTGGCCCGCGAGGGCGGGGCCAGGGCGGGGCGAGGCCGAGCCGGAGCTGAAGGGCGGGCCGGGGGCGGGGGAAGGAGCCCGAGGGGCGGGGCGGGGGCCGGCGACTTCTCTCCCTCCCTCCCTCCCTTTCTTTCTTTCTCTCTTTCTCACTCTCCGGTCTTTTCTTTGCCTCCGCTGCCGGCCGAGGGGGCGGGCTCTGCAGCCTTTGTTGCCAGCGGACTGAGCGTAGCCGCCCGCCGGGCCGGAGTACGGGCCCGGGACGCCGGGAGCTGCACGCGGGTCGGGCATGTCCTGAGCCGGACCCGGGACCGGGCAGCGAGCGGACGAGACGAAGAGTGTGCGCGCGGGATCGCCCGGCGGCCGCCCGGCACCGGCCATGCCCGGCGGCCCGAATCCCCGCAGCCCCGCGCTGCTGCTGCGCCCACTCCTCCTGTTCCTCTGCGCTCTGGCGCCCGGCGCCCACGGATCTGTACCAGGTGGGTGGTCGCCCTGCCCCGGCCGGCCGGCCGGCCCTGCCACCCCTCCCCGCTTCCCCAGCCTCGGTTTAGCCCCTTCTCACCTCTGCAAGACCCTGTGCCCGCCAGGTTCTGCCTGGAGCTGTCGCGTCCCCTGGTGTTAGTGACAGGGGTGGGGTTGGGGCCGCGAAACCGCGCCTCCAGGGAGCCTTCCCTGGCCCCCGACTCCGTTACCCACCTTGCCTGTAGCCGGAAAGAGCCCCTTAGACGCTCTTCGGGCTCCAGTTTCCCCACCTCGGGTACCGCAGAGCGCGTCTGACTCTCCCGGGGATCTCTCGTCGGAGGAACTGGACGGAGCGTGGCTTACACGCGATGGATTCAGCTTCTCGCCCTCCTCAGTGCGCCTCGTCTGGAAAGCAGGCTGGCCAGGGTGCTGCGGACGAGGTCTCGGGGTCGCAGGTCTACGCGGTCCCCCGCCGCGCTCCCGCCCCGGCCCCTACCCACCGCCTCTAGGTGCCTACCGGCCCTCGGCGGCTCCCCGGGCCGGGTCTCCCGCGGTCCTTGCGCTTCCTGCCTCCCCCTCCCCCAAGTGTGAAGGCGCCTGGAGTGGAGCGGGGAGAAGGAGCTTCTTTCCCCAGCCCTGGGCTTGGCTCTCCCCGCCCCGGCCGGCTGGCCTCCGACGAGCCTCTGGCCAGTGTCCAGAATCTTGCTCCGCCGCCGTCCGCCGCCGACCGCCGGGCCGCGGAGCTCCTGGAGCGTCCGGAGTAGACGGCCTGGGAATTTAGGAACAGAGGGTGTAGAGGACCCCTGGCCTGCCCCTCAGGGAGCTCCTGGTCTGATGGGGGCGGGTCGAGTAGTGGGGAGAGCCGTTCTGGCGAGGCAGACGGGAAGGCTTTGTAGGAGAGGAGGGGCCTGAGCTTGGAGGGACTGGAAGGATGGATGAACTTTGGATGGGCTGGAAGGGTGCGTGTTGGGGGTGGGGGTGCATCCCGGCCGGGCTTGGTGGAGGGAGGTGGCTAGATTAGGCCTGCGTGCTGGGCCTGGGGGAGACCTGCCTCCCCAGCAGAGGGATTGCGGTTGTGAGGCTAGAAAAGCATATGGGCCGGAACGTAGGGGACATTTAAACCAGATCTTAGAGGTCGGGGGAGCCGTTGAGGGGAGCAGCTGATGAAGGCAGTGGTTTAGGTGGGGAGGCTCCCTATCTAGCAGCAATGTGTAGGGGATAGAGCAAACATCTAATGAGAAATACCATGTGCCAGGCTCCCTAGTTCTTACTTCTCATCAGCTCCACAACAACTCTGCAAGGTGTGTGATGGAAAGTCCTTTTATAAATGAGGAAAGAGGTTCAGAGAGGAGAGTGACCTGCTGGTTTGGACTCCTGGGCTACTTGGGTAAAGCCTGTGTTTTCCTTCTGTCCAGAGCTGGGGACCCATGAGGAAGAACCAGGTGATGGAGATGAGGGAGCAGGAAAGTGGTTACCCCAAGGAACTGCCCCTGAGCCTGAACTTGGGTCCAGGCCCCCTGGCAGCTGTGGGAGAAACGTGGGGTGGGGGAGTCCCCTGTGGTCAGGGTCCCCTTTACTTCTACTGCAGACCAGACACATGTATGAGGTTGCCCATTTTGTTAAATGGGGATAATGGTACCTACCTCCAAGGGTTTTTGTGAGAATTAAGTGAGATGCTAAATGTGATTGTTTTGCACAGAGCAGAGAGCCTACCACGTGGTGGCCGTGATTTTTATTAATCTGCCAGGCAGACCCAGTAAGATCAGGGAGTCCTTGGTGTGTCCTGTAACTTGAACCTGCCATTTGGGGTGGAGCGAGGCAGGCACCCCTCCTATCTAATCTGGGTCCCCCTTCAAGGTGAGTGTCTGTCTCTAGTACTCCCATTGATACGTAGCATGGGGCTCTCCCCAGTCTGCTCCCGATCAGGATGCCTGATCCTGAGGCTGTTGAGCTTCGTCATTTTCTTTGGACTTGCCTGGGGGATGTAGACCAGGGCCCCTGCCCACTGAATGCTACCTTCTTTCAGGCCAGAGAACTTATCTTGGGCTCACTTTTAGGAAAATGTGACAAACCAAGGACTTGTTAGGATTGCTGGGACTGGAGCAGGGGCCATCAAAACACTGTATCACACATGTGAGCTCTATGTGTGTGTGCAAGTGAGGCAAGTGAGGACAGACTCAAGGAGGAGGGTGTGTGTGTCACACACACACACACACACACACCCCCCCTGGTTATTTTTTCTCTTTGGCATGAACTGTGGGTCATTTGAAGGGCTGGATTGTAACTCAGGTACTCGATAAGGAGGTGAGAGTAAACACCATGTTGGCATTTCTTTGGGAAAAGCTCCAAAGTGACAGTTGTGTCCCCTAGGGGTGATATTCAAAGTATTCAACACCCATTGTGGCAGGAAGTCCGTGCGGTCACACCCTGGCAGGACAGTCTCAGCCATAAACCGCGCGGCGCCCCTGCTCCCATCCTGCTGTAGATTTAGCTCTGTTGGCTCAGCTCTGACGCACCCACAAACCAGAGACTGGAACCTGCAATTACCCTTTGCTGGCACTGGGTGGTGGTAGGTTCAGCCATCACTGTTGCTTCACTGTTGCTACCAGGGGTCAGCTGTCGGAGACGTTGAAAGAGTTGTTTATTTTTTAACTCACTCTGTCCTCATTTAAAAATATTTTAATGGCAAAACGATACAAATTGACTATTGAAAATGAATGCAGAACAAAACAAGAAGATGAAAATCATTGCAGTAAAAGTGGTAACATCCTGTAAGTATTTTTAAATTTTTGATTAAAAAATATTTTATTACACCATTAGGCAAAGAGATAAAACAGGTTTTTCAAGAAATAGCTAAGTATACCTTAGAACTTCTCTTGCTAATTTTCAGTCATAACTTAGTTCACATTTGCTATATGTTATCTCCTGTGCTAAGCACTTACGTATTAACTCATTGAATTCTTACACAACCAAAGTACGATTATGATCATACCCATTTTACAGATGGAAGGACCGAGACTGTGTGGTGGAGTAATTTACCCATGGCCTCACAGCTGTAGGTGGCAGAGCTGCAAATTCAAACCCAGGCACTCTGTCTCTAGAGCACATTAATTCTAATGCCTTTCACCTGCAGCATATTTCTACTTAGCCCCATTACATTTTTGAACTTAAGAGGATGCTTCTTTATAAATCACTTGAATTTCTGTCTTGCAATAATTTCCCAAGGTCTGGAGCAGGGATTGTCAACAGGACCGCATGACCCCGAGGTCATGGATCCCTCCCCAGGGACACTGTTGAGCTCTTGGAGCCATTTCTCCCCAGTGGTTCCGATTCCCCAGCCACATACATACTCCCCTCTCGCACCCACACACGTTTGAGGACGCTGCTGTTGCCTAGAAGTATGCCATGTAGCTTTCGTTTTTCTGGTATACTGAGCACTTCATGGCCGGTTAGCCTCAGCACTCCCAGACCTTCAGCTTGTCTTCAGCAGCGTTGGCTGTGACGGTTCATGCCCTGGGAACTGCTGTTAATACTCATCTAAAACAAAGCCTTGGAGTGTGGCTGTTGTCTTATTCTCTGTCTATTTGCCCTGTGACCCTCCTTAAGTTTTCTGACCTGGATTCTCTGAGCAGTTGAGGAAACTGAGGCTCAGCAAGATTCAGTGACTGTCTAGGCCACACAACTATGAAGTGGCCAAGTGGGCACCTGAACCTGGGTCTTCCTATGTTTAAAGCCCATACTTTTGACAGTGCATTATTTTGTCACTCCATTGTCTCTCATTTCACAAAACACACACCTGGGCCAAGCTTCTTACTGCTTGTTCCCCTCACCCCTGGCTTTTTCCTACTTCTCTGGGGGTCTACCACATGGTGTCCACCACCAAGATGCCCTCCCCATCTTCACGCTTAAATACATACCTGTATGTCAAGGGACATTTCACATGTGCCCCTTTAACGAAGATTTTCTTCATCCCCGTCCATCTGTGGGATATCCCCTCCCCTCTCTTGGACCTTCTCAGCACTGTGTGGGGGGTAAGGATCACGAGTGCCCTGCACCCATTTCTCTATTCTGAGGGATGGACCAGGCAGGTAACATAACAAGGCTGGTGGGAAGACATTTTTCTCGAAACATGGGGCTTCTTGGCCCACCCCTTGTTTTCCCATTTTTGTTAGAGATTCAGTTCTTTACTGAATGAAAGACAAGTGTGAAGCTGAGGGCAAAGCTATATTTAGCTACAGTGTTGAGAACACCATAGGGAGTGGTAGAGACTGAGGCAGATGGGGGAGCACAGGCCCTCTCTAAAGGGCCACTTTTGACAAGTGTGAATTTAGGCCTGACAGGGATGGATGATAAGACTTTAAGCTGAAAATGGAGATTTTTATACAAAATTATGTGATTTTTTTAAACACTAGCAACTGATTAAATACTTTCCAACATTTTTGCCAGCCCAACAAACCACGCCACCCCCCCCAAGTCAATACACTGACAAACAAAAAAACAAGTCTGCCGGCTGTGGTTGTGGAGTTGCCATCCCAAATGCCCTTATTAGGATGTCAGAGCAAGAAGTCTCCTTCAATTATCCAGCCCAGTGGCTTTCAAATGCCAGCCCTGAAATGGTTACAACAGAATCCCCAGAAGGTTTAGAAAAATACAGGAAAAAATACAGATTCTGGGGCCTCAGAGCCCTGGACCTATGGAATCGGAATCTCTGGGCTGGGTCCTGCACAGCTGCAGTTTTTCAGAGCTCTCCAGGTACTGCCGATGTTCAGCCAGGTTCACTTCCAGTGAGGAATTTCCTAACTTCCCTGATGATCACAGTCTCCTGAGGCTCTTGGTAAAAACACAGCTTCCAATGGACTTGAGGACACGGGGAGGGGGAAGGGGAAGCTGGGACGAAGTGAGAGAGTGGCATGGACTTATATACACTACCAAATGTAAAATAGATAGCTAGTGGGAAGCAGCTGCATAGCACAGGGAGATCAGCTCGGTGCTTTGTGACCACCTAGAGGGGTGGGATAGGGAGGGTGGGAGGGAGACGCAAGAGGGAGGAGATATGGGGATATATGTATACGTATAGCTGATTCACTTTATTATACAGCAGAAACTAACACACCATTGTAAAGCAATTATACTCCAATAAAGATGTTAAAAAATTTGTTTAACAAACCCCACAGCTTCCCAGTCCTGTTTCCTGGAGATGCTGATTCAGTGGGTCTGGGGCAGGGCCTGGGAATTTGTTTTTAACAAATTCTCATCTGAGATGTCTGGAAAATCCTTGCACTGGTGCCTTCCTGAAACGCAGAGACAGGGAAAATTTGTCCAGAGCCACACGGCAAGTCAGCCCAGCCTACCCTGCCTCGCTCGAGCATGCTCTTAGAGGACCATGCCCTGATGGCTGGCCTGCTGGGGCAGTTGTGGGCCGCGGGGGATGTCCTCAGCAGGGGGGCACACCACTGGCGTGTGCAGGGCGCTTTACACGTGGTTTGACAGGAGACAGATTGCAGGGCAGTTTGGGTTTCTGCGGCCTGGCCTGGATGGAGCTTCAGGCTGGGCTTGGCTTCCCTTCCAGCCCCAGCAGTGGCCACACAGAGAGCCCTGTGGGACAGCTGCAGGGCACTCAGGCATTCTTGTGGCCTCGAGGGGTTATTGTCACGAGCAGCCAGGATCCCAGGAGCTGAGCATAAAGCCAGTTGATCTGGGCAGGACCTGAAGCTGGGAGACACTTCACATGGGCCAGTTTCCTACCTGTACCTCAGAGCCTGGGAACTGCAGAGAAGGAAAAGGGGGAACAAGAACACCAGCCCTGGGGTTCCCGCCCACCCCCAGCAGTGCTGCTCTTATGTGTGTATGTGTCCCCATGAGATTTCTTTTGAAGACTAGGTCTGGTGGCCAAAATAGTTTGAAAAACTTGATCTGGTCCAACTCCTTACGCTGGCGAAGGGGAAACTGAGGCCCAGCAAGGGACGGACTGCTGAATGTAGAACGATGTTACTGAGAGATTGAAGCCATTTGGGAGACTTTATTACTCTCGCTGTGTGGCTTTAAGCCAGTCTCTGCACTTCTCTGAATGTCTCTTTGCATTCTCCAGAAACAATCTGGGGACTCTACCGCAGGTGTCCTAACCTGGATCTGCAGCCATAGAGACCTGGGTAGAATTCAGAGGATCCATGACCTTGGATGGGAATATATTACATCTTTAATTTTTGTAACCTTGAAGTGAAATGTAGCATTTCCTTCAATTATAAATATTAGCAACAAATCACAATAGCGTTGGCAGTATCTGTGATTTTGCTACCAATAGGAAAAGCAAAATATTTTATCTCAATACAGTTGCAGGTATCTTGAAATAAGGTTGACATTTATCACTACTTCTAAATCACCATAGTTGTTAAATTTGCCATTAGATCTTGTTTAGTGCATTAGTAAAGGAGCACATAATTTCACATCTACTTTTTAAATTATTTTGACAACTGTATTTCAATATAATCAATTTCCTTGGTATATTATTCTTATACATTTAAAAACATTTTTCTGAGAAGGAGTCCATGGCAAAAAAAGGTTAAGAATGAAGCCTTACTGGGAAATCCAAGCAGACTGACTATGAGAGGATTCTGCAAATGGCAAGGGCCTGAGCAGAAGTTTTGCAGCCCTGGAACATTTTCATTCAAACTCTTAAATGTGAAAGAAATAAACTAGAGCTGCTCCGCCGAAGTGGTAGTGATGAGGGGCTAGGGGGCCCTACCTGGGTGGTCCTTCTCTGACTCCCCATCTCAGGAGACCTGGAGATGTGTGCAGAACCCTCGGGCACTTAAAAAAAAATCCATCAGGCTAATAGTCATACTAATCATACTTGCCATCATGTTCAGTCAGTGGGCCAGGCTATATGTGGAGCAGTTCAGTTCATTTAATCCTCAGCTCCCAAAGTGTAAGTAATTATCCCCATTCTACAGATTGTACACAAACATTTACTGAGAAACTACTAGTTTCCAGATACTCTGGCACTTAAACTCTTCAGCAAAGACTATGAAGATTCTTGCCCTCCTAGAGTTCGCACTGGGAGGAGATGGAGAAAGAAAAATAGGAAAAAGAATGAAAATGTTAAGTGATACAGTATGTCAGAAGTGCTATGGGGAAAAATAAAGCAGGGAAGGGGGAATAGGGAGAGCCAGGGAGTTGCAGTTTTAAAATAAAGCGAGGAGAGCTTTGAAGAAGGACTTGAAAAGAAGTGAGGGGTTTAGTCAGATGGAACACTGAGGTTCGCGTGTTCCCGGTGGAGGGAATAGCAAAGCGAAATCCTGAGGCAGGAGCATGTCTGACTGAGGAACAGCAAGGAGGCCAGTGGCCGAGGGGAGGGAACTCGGGAAGTGTAGCAGAGATGAGATTGGAGCGGTAACCTTGCCTAAAGCCTCACAGACCATCGCCATAACTCTATCTCCTGCTGTGTGTGAGCTGGAGGCCACTGCAGGGTTTGCAGCAGAGGAGGGCCATGATCTGACTGATTTGGAACGAATCCCTGTGACTGCTACGCTGAAAGAAGACTAGGGGAGAGGGATGCCACACGGGCAATCGCGGAAGCAGGGAAACCTGTTAAGAGGTTATCCCGATAACCTAGATGGAGCCATCGAAGCACGGAGAGGTGAAATAGCACAGGTGGTGGGTGTTTGAGTCCTGGCGCTCAGACTTCAGCCGCCCTTTCGGCCGCTCCCCACTCCGGTCCGGCTCTTCTCTCTGCAGAGCACACCGCCGAGGGCCGGGCAGCGTTGGACATCGTGCACCCGGTGCGCGTGGACGCGGGGGGCTCCTTCCTGTCCTACGAGCTGTGGCCGCGCGCGCTGCGTAAGAGGGACGTGTCCGCGCGCCCCGCCGCGCCCGCCTTCTACGAGCTGCAGTACCGCGGCCGGGAGCTGCGCTTCAACCTGACAGCCAATTCGCACCTGCTGGCGCCCGGCTTCGTGAGCGAGACTAGGCGGCGCGGCGGCCTGGGCCGCGCGCACATCCGGGCCCACGCCCCCGCCTGCCACCTGCTCGGCGAGGTGCAGGACCCTGAGCTCGAGGGCGGCCTGGCAGCCATCAGCGCCTGCGACGGCCTGGTGAGTGTGCGCAGGGTGCACTGGCGGGACGCAGGGCTGCCCCCGGCCTGGCCACGAACCTGCTGCTAACTTCGGCCTGTTGGCTTTTCCTCTCCCAGCCTCAGTATTCACACCTGTAAAATGGGGTGGACAACGCAGGCCTCTTTGTTCTCTAGCAGTTCTCAAACTTTAATGCGAGCCAGAGTCACCCAGGCCTTGTTAAAAACCCAGTGTACCTTGCGGGGGGGGGGGGGTAGCAAAATCTGAATTTCTGGCAATTTCTCAGATACTGTTGAAGCTGCAGGTCCAGACACCCCACTTTGAGAACCACTGTTTGTGGTGTGTGTAGACTAACTTAGAAAGCAGCTGAATCCCTCTTCTTTGGGGAATCAGTTATGACTTTGTTTCCCTCTGCGCCCCCCACCCTTTAGGCTGCTATTCTCCAGGACAGGCTTCCTCACCTTTACCTTGCCTCAGGGGGTGATGAGAGCAGGCCTCAACCTCCAGGTTTTTCTGGGTTGAGGTAATGCTGGCTACTGCCTGCAGCCCTCATTGCCCCCCTCTGCTTGAGTGCCCAGTTAGAGCAGCTCCACTCCACGCAGGATAGGGCCCCTTTCTGCTCCCAGCTCCCAAGCGTGGGGTGTGGGAGGAGTTGAAGGGTTGCACATTCTCAGCCATCCCCTGTTGGTGGGGGGGAACCTCAGCTCAGATTGCTCAGGAAAAGCCATGGGCTGTGGCAGGGCAGGGCCTAATACAGCCCACCTCACAGGCTCTAGGGTATCCGGGCCTCTGAGAGCCCATATGCCTGGGAAAGTCTCTCATTTACCCAGTCTGTGCCCCTCCCTTTCCATATAGTTGATTAATCTTGTTGAGCCTGAGCGACAGGTGCATCATTCCCACTTTACAAATGAGGAAGCAGGCTCAGAGAACTTGCCCAAGGTCACCCGGGTATCCAGTGGTGGAGTCTGCATTCAACCCAGGCCTCCAGCCCCTAGCGCTGATGATGCACTGTCTAGCGCTCCAGGTTCTCTGGCCCTGAGTGACGCAACTGGCCGACTTGGAGCCAGTGAGGGAGGTCCAAGGGAGTAAAACCTTCTTCCGTGTTGGAGTCCTGAGCTTCCCCAGGAGGTGGTGGACTGCTCAAAGATACCTACCAAGGCCCCTCCTTCCTCTGGCCTCTCTGAATACCAGCGGACATGACCAAGACATCCCTGCCAGCTTTCCTTCCCTGGCAGACCCTGGGACCAGGGACGAGGATGTCCTCGTGGCAGTGGACATCTCGTTAGATTCGGAAGCAGACCCATTTCTTTCTTTCTTTCTTTCTTTCTTTCTTTCTTTCTTTCTTTCTTTCTGTGATCAAATTTCTTTCTTTTTATTGAGATATCATTGAAATATTAGTTTCAGACAACAATTTGACACCTATGTGTTGTGAAATGATCACAATAAGTCTAGTTACAAATTTATGTACATATAGTTTTTTTTCTTGTGATGAGAACTTTTAAGATCTTTCTTTGCAACTTCCAAATACACAATACAGTATTAACTGTAGTCACCATGCTGTACATTACATCCCCAGGACTTTTTTTTTCCTTCTTGATGTTAAGCTTTTAATTGTAATTCCTGCTTTTCTTTGGGGATGCAGGAGATGCAGACCCACTTCTTGCTTCTTATGGGCTAAGGAGCAGGGTGGGAGCAGCTTGCTAGGCTGGTGGCTCCTGAGCTTAGCCTAGAAGCCTTTGGCTGGGTGGAGCTGTAAGGAAGGACATTCCAGGCAAAGGGTACAAAGTGAACAGAGGCCCAGAGGGAGGAAAGCACAGTGTATCAGGGTCAGTTGGGGTGGTGGGCTCCGCTGGGCAGGACAGGCCTCTGGGATGGGTGGGAAGAGCAGCTGAATGCCAGCCCTCCCCAAGTGACCCTGGTGCTTCTTTCCCAGAAAGGTGTGTTCCAGCTCTCCAACGAGGACTACTTCATTGAGCCCCTGGATGGTGTCCCAGCCCGCCCTGGCCGTGCCCAGCCACACGTGGTATACAAGCGCCAAGCCCCTGAGAGGTGGGCAGAGCCGGGGGACCCCAGGGCTCCAGGCACCTGTGGGGTGAAAGGTATGTTTCTCTGCTACCAGCTCTGGGGGAGGGGATGGGTCTGGGGGCATGGAGGGGCCTTCTAGAAACCTCTGTCAACACCTCCATGCCCAGCTCCTTTTAGACCAAAGGGACACAGAACGACAGACACATCATCATAGCCTGTACCCTCCAAATGTGCCAGAGGCCTCTGCCTCTCAGGCCTGCCCCCGCTCATGCCCTGGACTGGCACCTCTCACTGTCAGCTCCTCCGTCTCCCCACCTCAGGGCTCCGTCTCTGTCTCTCCCTGCCCCTCCCCACTCACTGCCTGGGGCACCTCCAGCTGTGCCAACTATTCGAGTGTCCAGGTGAGGCCGGGCCATACCCAACCCCAGCAGGACAGCTAGCCAGGAACCTCCCTCCCCTCCCCACTCTGGTCCCAGCCCAGGATAGCTGACTTGCATTTTGGAGACCTAGAGTGTGGCACCCAGCACCTCTTCTGCAGAGTGGCCGCAGTCAGTGCTGGCCAGTCTCTGTAAGGAGCTGCCTGCTAAGGGCTGCTGGGGTTTGGGGACTGCTCCAACTTCACAAGCTGCCCACAGCTCAGGGACTCTCTTTGCTGGAACAGATAACCAAAGAGGCATGCTTCTCACCCTCAGTTTCCCCAGCTTCATAAATGTGCTTCCTCTTCTGATCTGGGGGCAGCCTGGGTCAGTGGGGCAGGTCCCCAGTGGGGTCAGCTGGTTGGGGTCTTGGTCAGCCTCCCCAGGCTGGGGGTTAGGCCGGGGATCTGCATATGCTGGGATGTACTTACCCCTCAGCGAGGGAGGGATCAGTGTGGGGAGATAGGGGCTTAGGAGCTCGCCTCACGGACACAGTGCTTTACTGTGTTCATATCCACCATTTCATTAGCCCCCCGAAGTCACTCTGTGAGGCTGATCAACTTATCTATTTATAGTCAGGCATCCCCCAGGATCAGAGAAGGGAAGTGACCAGGTCAGGGTCACACAGCACAGGTCTGGGGCAAAGCCATGACGGGAGTCCAGGCCTTTTGCCTCTGATCCCAGCACTGTTCCCACTGACCCAGAGAGAGCTCACTGGGGAAAGGCCCTTGAGACGTGTGCCCTGGGCCAGTCTACTGGCAGCTAACCCACAGCCCGTCTGGGGCCCACAGAGTCCCCGGAGCTGGAGCCCCGGCGGGAGCGTTGGGAGCAGCGGCAGCAGTGGCGGCGGCAGCGGCCGAGGCGTCTACACCAGCGTTCGGTCAGCAAAGAGAAGTGGGTGGAGACCCTGGTGGTAGCCGATGCTAAAATGGTGGAGTACCACGGGCAGCCAAACGTCGAGAGCTACGTGCTGACCATCATGAACATGGTGAGGCTGCTGCGGGCGGTGCGTGGGGGGCGGCGAGGGCTGCCAGGGGATGGTGGTGTTGAGGTACAGAGGGTGGGTGTACCCCAGGCCCCAAGCAGGAGGTATAAGCTTCCAGCTCCTAAGTCCAGGAGGGGATGGGAGGCCCCGCAGGGAGTCACTAGGAGAGAGCCTGGGCAGAGGTGGGGCCTTTGGGGCTGCTGTGAGGACACCACTGAGTGTCATTCCACCCCATTGGCTCAGCAGCCTCCACCCCCTGCCAGGACCAGAGCTGGGGGAGGGGAGGCTGAGGGAGCTCGTAGACTGGTTGACCCATCCACACCACTCTGAACAAACCTCCCTCCTCTGTGCCGGGACCTGTGCTGGTCGCTGGGGACACGGAAATGACCAAGCAGACCAGCCCCTGCCGGAGACATCAGCACGCAGCAGAGTTAGAAGGATCTGTACAGTTCTGTGTTCTACTAGCCGGTGACCTTGGGCAAGCCACATTACCTGTCTTAGCCTCAGCTTGTCCACCTGTGAACTGGGGATGACAATAGTACCTTACAGCGTTGTCATACCGCTCTTGATGCCATGGGACAGTTGAGATAACTAGGCCCCGGGAGGGTGAGTGACGTGCCCAGGTCACAAGCGAGGCAAGACAGAGCTGAACAGGAGCCTAGGTCTCCCAGGTCCCACCTGGGGCACCGTGGCAGGCTGGAGCTAGTGATTCCTGCTCCTGTAGTGCCAACCAGTCCCTCCCTGCTGCTGCCCTGGGTGTGCAGATGGGAGGCCTCAGGGCCTGGGAGAAAAGATCTCTGCCTTTGGCATTCTTAGCAGGCCACCCACTGAACAACACTGTTTTCCTCCTGGACTGGGTGACTGAGAACAGGTGAGGTTCTCAGTACAGTGTGCTCTGCAGCTGATGTGGCCAGTGTCATGTGCTGTGACTTCCACCCGTGCCAGCCTCACACCCCCTGCAACATTAAAGGAAGTGCGCTCTGGATCATCGAAGGTCTGGCCACCCCTTTTATCTCCATGAAGCCTGGGGTCAGAGAAAGAAAGGGGCGCCGTCTGTGGCCACCATGCCCCCACTACTTCAGTCTGCATTGGCAAGCTCAGCTCCGGGCCAGTTCCTGCCCGACTTGGCCAGCCATGTTGGCTCCCTCCTCCTTATGGAATAAAGGCCATAGCCTTCTGCCTGGCACTTGAGGGCTCTAAGACCCAGCCAAGCTTCTATTTAGCCTTGTCTGCCCAGGGAGACAAACCACTAAAGACCAGGGTTCAGGAGGGACTGTTGCTGGACAGCGGGGCCTGGCTTCTGGGCTCGGGGTGGGCAAGGTCAGGTTCCCAGGCCATGAGATCCTCCACTCAGGGGCTCAGCCTGAAGGAGGCCCAGGAGCTTGGCTGGAGCCACCAATGGTTAGCTGGGTTTATTTGCCTCATTTTTTCTGAGTGTTCCATGTGGGCAGGTACTGAGCCCTCCAGGCTCCCCTGTGACATCCCCTGTGTGCCAGGGGTCAAGGATTTGGGCCCCTTCTTGCCTTCCTGTCCAGGCTCACAGGACGCACACATTTACGTTGTGAGCCCCACCCTGGAGGAGGGAGGGTCTGGCTCTCACAGTCACCTGCTCTGGACAGTATCGGGTTTTCCCAAGTTGGCAAGTCCAGCATTGATCAGGACAGAGTCGGGGCACCTATGAGCCTAACAGTGCTAGATACCTGATAGGGAGACTCCAGGAGATGGCAGGGGCATGGGCGGGCATGCAGCCGGCCTCCGAGGAGGGCTGGACCGTGTGTTAGGGCTGGAACCTTCCGAACACCTGCTGCTTGTCCAGTGCTCCACACTCACTGCCTCATCTAAGCCTCAGCCCCGTTTCACAGTTGAAGGAACAAAGGTTCAGCGAGGCCAAGGGGCTTGCTCAAGGTCGCACAGCTAGTGAGTGGCAGAGCTGGGACCGGAGGTCAGATGTATCTGCTTCCAGAGTCCCACTCTGTCCTCTCTGTCCCTCAGCCTGCCCCAGAGAGGGACAGCTGGGTAGCTGTGGTGGCCAGAGTGTGCTGGAAGGATGGGGGAACAGGGTGGTGTGGCTGGGGAGAACTTACCCTCTTTTCCCTCTGGAGCGGTTCTGTAACGCTGATGTGATGAGTGCCAGCTCTGTACCAAGGATGAGGTGATGGATGCATAAGAGTAGGATCCCATGCTGGGGAAGCTGTACTTCATTGTAGCATTTCTCAAAGAATATTCCAGGGAGTACTTGTTCCAAGGGATGCTACTTGTTCCAAGGGATGCTACAGGTGTTCTGTGAAGAAAGATTGTGCTGTTGAAAAAGTTTGGCAACGCAGGGTTAAAAAAAAAGGAACACAGACTTTACTGCAGGACTTCTCAGAGCCTCCAAAGCTATAGGCATTGAGAATCCCTCAGAGAGGAGGCAGGCAGCGCTTTCCAAACTTAAGAAGTAAGAGCAGAAACTTTGATGCAGTCAGATCTGGGTTCTGATCCCCTATTCAGCCTCTCTTTGAGCCTCGTTACTCCATCTGTAAGGTGGGGATGGTTATGCCTGCCTGAGAAGTAAGAAGGTTAAGTGAGATGAGGCATGTGACGCTCCCAGCATGAGGACTGTGTGTGCTGGGCTCGGGCAGTGTTACTGCTGCTTTGGTGGCTGCTTTAGCGTCTGCCCTTTGGCCCCACAGCCACCTTCAGGACAGCTCACTCCTCTTCACCAGGGCCTCCTGCAGGTTCCAATCTGTCAGTGTCCTCTCTGTGCCAGACCCAGGTCTGAGCCCGGGAGCTCAGGTGGGTCTCTTCCAAGCATAGCAAGAGAGGTCCCCCCCACCCAACTTTGCGCCCTCAATTCTATTCATGTCCTCTGAGGTCACAGGCCCTTTTTGAGCGGCTCATGTCATACTGTCAGCTCATTGGGAGGTTGTGGTCACCTGTAACCCCCAGATCTCACTCTCATGAATACTGCCCACCCTGGCTTGCTCTCCAGGCCTGCACCAGAGCAGGGCTTGTCTTCCCTAGGTATTGTTTATCCAGACAACCACACTGACCTCAGGCCATAAACAGACACTCATTGGTTGATCTGGTCAACAAGTAATGATTCTGCCACCCTCCAGTCCCTCCCAGCATCTGTTTCACCTCCATACTTCTTGGGGGACAGTGAGAGGTGTTATATATGCTGGGGGTGGGGCTTTGTGGTGACAGGAAGCTATCCCAGCGCTAACTCAGGATATGGGCTGGGCTAGTTGTTGGGACAGGTCTTAGCAGACCCTCAGGGGCTCCTCTGGGCTCCACCTGCATGTCGACTAGGAAAGACTTATTCTTTTAATCTGACTCTCTCCGGGGTACTCTTTTCATTTTTCACTGTTTTTTTTTTTTTTTTTTTTTTTAATGAAATAACGCGTTGGAAAAACTTAGCAAGTGCTCAAGATTCATTCATTCCACAACTGTTTCTTGAGTCCATCATGTGCCAGGTACTGGACAGATCACTGGGGCTGTAAGAGGGAGTCCACACAGACATTGCCCTCATGGAGCTTATGGTCTGGAATGGGAGAGAGACGTTAATGAAGCCGTCACCCTGATGAATATGAAGGTGTGATGGAGGGGGTACTAGGAAGGACAAGTTCATGGTGGTTTGGGAGTGTCGGGTAGAATAAAGCTCCCCAAAAGACATGATGGAGGGGTGAGAGCTCAGAGAGGGTGAGAGATAACTTGGGAAGGTGTTCCAGGCTGAGGGCACAGCATCTGCAAAGGCCCTGTGGTAGGAAGGATCATGGGATTCTGAGAGAAAGCCAGCGTGGTCGGAGCCAGGAGTGAGGGGGTTTGAGGAGGGGAGTGAGGCCATAGAGGTGGGCAGGGGCCAGACCACACAGGCCTGTATGCCGCACAGGCCTGTATGCCGCACAGGCCTGTATGCCTTATGTGTGGGTAGTGAAGACCCACTCATTGCTTTAAGCAAGGGCATAGGGTGATTGGGTTTGCATTTCAGAGACAGATGACTGGGGTGCAAGGCTGCAGGTGGGCTAGAGGACAGAATTCAGGAGGCAGAACTGGCTGATGTGGTGGAAGAAGGCAGTGCAGAGGGGCTCCCAGCTCCAGCACGTGCATGGAGGGCACAGAGACACGTTAAATCACTGTCTTCACCGTTCCTGACCTTGGGCTCTGACAGTATAATTCATCCCCGTTATCAGGGGCTTTTTGCCCTCTTAACAGTGTGTGTTTTGTCCATTCCTATTTGAATATTATTTTTCTTGATGGAATTGCTAGAAGCCAACTCACAACTGGTGTGTCCTGACATCTCTGCCTGCTGGGACCTTGACAACTGTCCCCAGTTGTGGACTGGCCCCTTTCTTGTTCTGAGGGAGCTTTAAAAGAGCAGATAGCTTTAACCCCCATTTCCCAGCACCTTGGCACACTGTCCATCTTTGGGGATGGCCTTCTGTCTTGGGGCTGAGTGTGGAGCCGCGCTTGTAGCTATGGGGGCCTCTGAGAGGCACACACACCTGCCCTCGTGGCCCCATGGCTCTCAGCCCCAGGGAAGATGGGCCTCTGCCTGCCTCCACCCCTCCCCCAGGCCGTGCCCAGGTCACGCCTCAAGGGAGGGCTCACTCCTGGGATGCTGGCCCTGGTGTCCTCAGGGCAGGAGGGGGCTGCAGGGCTGTCCCAGCCAGGGCAGGTTAGGGCCCTGAGATGGGCCAACAAGCCAGCATTTGGAGGTGTGAGCTGGGGAATAGGATCCCAAACTGGTGCTCAGGAATGGCCAGGTGCTGGGAGGCCCTCTCGTCCTCCCCAGGTTCTGCTGTTGCTGGTTGGGGAAGTGTGTGTACAGGTGTGGGCACGTTCATGTATGGGATGCATGCACTGGTGAGCTCCCCATTGTGTGAGCTTGGGTGTGCACCCCTTGAGGTGGGCAGAGGCTGCCCATATCCTGTATCCAAGGTGACAGCCTGACCCGTATCTCTTGGGCAGGTGGCCGGCCTGTTTCATGACCCCAGCATCGGGAACCCCATCCACATCACCGTTGTGCGCTTGGTCCTGCTGGAAGATGAGGAGGTGAGAAGTCACGTGGCCCCACACTGCCCCCTGGGATGGGCATCGTCTGCCAGGGCCCTCCTTCCACTTGCCTGAGCTGCCTCATGTGGAAGGGCACAGCGAGGGCCTCCTTGGCCCAAGCAGTGTCATCTGTCACCCCCAGTCCCTGGCTGACCCTCTCTTAGGTCCCGTCTGGCACGTGCCTGTAGGTGGGGTTGTCAGACTGGAGGCTGGACTGGGGGCCTGCCTGCTTGTCTTCCCACTGCCACCTCTGGGCCTCTGTCTCCCGCCTTCATGTGAAGGAGAATTTGGCCTGACCCTTCAGAGCTCAGGGATAGGCTTGAGTGGCCACGCTCTCTGCCCCCAGGAGGACCTAAAGATCACTCACCACGCAGACAACACCCTGAGGAGCTTCTGCAAGTGGCAGAAAAATATCAACATGAAAAGGGACGCCCACCCGCTGCACCACGACACCGCCATCCTGCTCACCAGGTACCGCCACTGTGAGGGGCTGGGCCGTGGGTGTGGCCGGTAGAGCTTGCGTGGGCGGGAGGTGCTACCTGACCCTCAGGGTGGGCAGACACAGCCCCGCTCTCAGGGAGCCTCATTTTGAGGAGGGTTTTCACACCTTTGACCCAAGACTGGATTCCAGCAGTACTGGGGGAGATCTTTTTATTTTGGAATAAATGTGCATTCCATGCAGTTGTCAGAAATAATACAGGGAAGTGCCATCTATACTTCATCCAGTTCCCCACAGTGGTAACATCTGGCATAACTGTAGTTATATCCCAACCAGGAAATTGACGGTGATATGATCCACAGACTTATACAGGTTTCATTAGTTTTACATGCACTTACTTGTTTGTGTGTGTGTGTGTGTGTGTGTGTGTGTGTGTGTGTGTGTGTGTGTGT